TAAAGATTATATATTAAAATTTAACAGCCAATATTTAGCAGTTTTAAATGGGAGGATTTCCCTTTAACATCAGGAACAAGATAAGGCCACCCCATGTCACCACTTGTTTTATTTAGTACTGAAATTAATTTTTAGCTAGAGCAATGAGACAAGAGGAAATAAAATGAATTAGGTTAGAAAAGAAGTGAATCTATCATTATTTACAGATAATATGATATATATATATATAAATACCCATAGAGACTCCACCAAAAACCTACTGAAAATAATTCAGCAATGTGGTAGGTTAAAAAAATCAACATATACAGCTTGGGTGCACTTTTAAATACAAACAAAAAAGGAAATTAAGAAAATTATTTCATATTTTTCTTTACAAAGAATCAAATACCTAGAAATTAGCCTAATAAGGTGAAGGCCTTATACAATGAAAACTATACATTATATGTACTAATTATATGTTTCGTATGTTAACAAAAATTTAGAATGTGAGATAACTAAATGGAAAGGCATTCCATGACAATTAATAGAATAGTAATAGGTAGAATCAGTACAATCAAAATGACCCCTGGCCTGTACCCCAGTTCTGTATGCACAAATAAATAAATCTTTTAAAAAATAAATAAATTAAAATAATAATAATAATAAAAAATAAAAAATATAGAAAATTGATAAGCTGAACTTGAGAAAATACAAAAACTTCTGTGAAAGACAATGTCAAGACAATAAGACCCAACTTACCAGTCTTAAACAAAATATCTTCAAAAGACATATCCGACAGAGGCCTGCCATTGAAAATATACAAAGAACTCTTAAAGTTCCGCAACAAGAAAACAAGCTGATTAAAAAATGTGTAAGAGACCTCAACAGATGCCTTTCCAAAGTATATATATACAGCAAATAAGCAAAAAAGAACATATTCTACATTTTATGTCAGCAGGGAAATGCAAAATAAAAGAGAGACACATGCCTACAAGAATGGCCAAAATAAAGAAAACTCATTCATTCCTGTTGGGAAATCAAAATGGAGCAGTCACTTTGGAAGTCAGTTTGCTGTTTCTTACAAACCTAAATATAACCTTAGCATATGATACAAATTGTGCTCGTTGGTATTTACCCAAAGGAGTGGAAACATTCAAAAACTTCCACACAGATGTTTATAGTAGCATTATTCATAATCACCAAAACATGGAAGCATTCACGATGTCTTTTAGTAAGTGAATAGAGAAGTGATCTGTGCTACATCAGACTATTATTTAGCACTATTATTCAGTGCTAAAAAGGAGTTACTGAGTCATAAAAAGACATAATGGACACTTAAATGCATATTAGTAAGTGAACGAAGCCAATCTGAAAGGCCTACATATTGTACGATTTCAACAACTTTACAATTAGAAGAGGCAAAACTAAGGAGACAGTGAGTAGATCACTGTCCCACATGTTGATGGAGAGGGATGAATAAGACAAGCACATTAGATTTTTAGAGCAGTAAAAATGCTCTGAGTCATAATATAATAATAGATACATGCACACATGTAATTATACTTATGTCCAAACCTAAAGAATGTATGAAAGCAAGAGTGAATGAACTACAGCATAAATGATGAACTTTGGATGATTATGTCAATGTGAGTTCATCCACTAGAATACATGTACCTCTCTAGTGAGGATGCTGACAAGAAAGCAGCTATAGACCCATGATGTTAAGTAAGGGGTATATGAGAAATCTCTGTACTTTTCTCTTAATTTTGCTGTGAACCTAAAACTGCCAAAAATAAATATTTACAGTCCACAATTTTAACATCCCACAAACATAACACAATTCAGCCAAGTTTTTTGACACTTTATAATAAGGAATACATCAATATAATGTTCCTCGTTTCAATATTTGACCCCTAACATTACACCCTAAAACTCTTAAAGCATCTACCCATTATCCAGTTTCAAGGCTGCACCGCATTTTCAGGTGTCTGATACAATAGAATCAACTCCTCGGACCAAAACCTGTATGAATTAACTTGGGTTTCTATTAAAAAAAAAAAAAGCCAAAATCAACATAGACCTGGTGATATAAACAAAAGATACTTAGTTTCTCTTATAGCACAACTCTTTATAATGGCCCCTCATCACCACTTCTAAATCTATTTTTTTTTTTTAACCAAAGGACCCATCTCACAATGTCATAATGTTGGGAACTAGGACTTTAACATATGAATTTTGGGGAAACACAATTAAATCCATAATGATAATATACCTTTTGAAATCAGTTTTTATTTAAACAAACATAGAGCAAAATTAACAAAATAACTATTACATATGGATGATTGATGGGCATCATTCTGCTTTCTCCAAATATTTCAAGAGTATTTTAAAAGAAAATCATAATGTATGTAAAATTACGCATTTACATTTGCTATCAGTTGGCATCTTATAACTAATTATCTAGTACCTAAGATAAACAAAAGATTTTCTGAACAAGTACATTTATTTTCTTTTATAACATGGATTCTGGTAGCTTGCCTCTGTAAACCAATGTTTAGATCTATGTGATGACATATGTGATTATGAAAAGTTTTCTATAGTCATAATACACTTATGTAGTATTACTAGAAAAAGAAGATGGTATTTTTATCTTGTTGTTAAGATTTTGGATTCATTTGTCACAAGTCTCAGATGAATCATAGGTGAGGTTCTTAGGTCAATGAACTGAGAATTAAAACTGGAAATCCCAGTCAATATTGTAAGGTTGAATATATTCGTTCTCCTTGATGTTCACTTTTGTAACAGAGAATTGATTATGCTGGGGGTAGGAAGGGGATAATCATACATTTTAAATTAGGAGCTATTTATTTAATATTTTAAAATTTACTTTAAATTATCAAACATTGTTGAATTTATTAAAAATTGAGGTTAAGAGCTTCATGTTTCAGAGAGTTATTTTCATATTTACAAATGTTAAATAGCTCTTACATTTTTTCTGTATTTATTACCTAATAAATTTTTATGTTAGCTGAAAGTTTTAATAATTTGATGCTAATTTTTATATTGTCTTTAAGTAATCAATGTGTAACCAGAAACATTCATGTAGCTACTACTGCATGTCTCTGTATTTTCCTTTTCCATCTTGCAAGACAGTAGGTGAAAGAACTAAGAAGTTGACTACTAAAATGAAGAAACGTGAAGCCAAGAAAACTGATGCTGGTGGAAAGGATAATAAAGAAAAGGCCAAAATCCCATAAAAGGTGGAGCCAAAACCCTGTCCTTGTAGGAAATGGCAGTTATTCCTGATTGGCAAGGTATTCCAGAAAAGCCATGTAGAAGAGTTAAGTATTCAGTTGTGAAATCCAGAATCACAAGGAAGTACAAAGTTCTTACTACTGAAACAAACCCAGTTAGTGCTGACACAAATGGTGGTATATGAGTGGCTACACTTCACATAATGCCTAGAATATCATACTGAAGCAGTACCTCAAAACCTGTTGAGCCACAGGAAAAAAACACTTCAGTCAGCAAATTAGAAGCCTGTCATCTGGCATCACTCCTGGGACCACCCTGATGATCCTTACTGGGCCTTACAGAGGCAAGAAGTTAATTTTCTTCAAACAGCTGAGCAATGGCTTGCTACTTGTGACTGTACCTCCCGCCCACAATCAAGTTTCTCTGAAGAACACAGAGAAATGTGTTATCGCAATCTCCGCTGAAATTGGTATCAATTTTGGTTTGAAAATCCCAAAACACTCCCAGGGAGGGCCAACTATAAAATTTTCTAAAATAGATAAAATAATTTTGTGTAAAACAAAATTTCCGGGCACTCCCTGGTGGCCAACAGGTTAGAACTCAGCACTGCAAGCTGGCAGCAGCTGTTGCCACTTTCAGTGTAGGTTTGATCCTCACCACAGTGGTGATCCAAATGGTGAGGCAGACCTCTCCTGACCTGTCCACTGCTCTGCTCAGCAGTGTACTTAGTGGATCTGCCTGTTGTGTTCCCTCCTCTATCTGGTGAAGTCTCTCACCTGCCCCTGAACCTCTGGCTTGTAGCCCAGTTCTGTATGAATAAATAAAAAAAAAGTCTTTAAAAAACAAAACAGGGGCCCTCCCTAGTGGCTCAGTGGGTTAAAGCACAGCACTAAGAGCTAAAGCCACTTTAGTGTGAATTTGATCCCCACCCCAGAAGTGATCCACAAGGCGTGGCAGACCTCTCATGGCCTGCCCGCCGCTCCCCTCAGCAGTATACTTCTCCAGTCAGCATGTTCTGCTCCCCACTCTGTCTCTGGTGAATCCTCTTACCACCCCTGCACCTCTGGCCTGTTCCAGAGTCTGTATGCATAAATAAATAAATCTTAAAAATCAAAACAAAACAAAAAAACATATTACCAACAAATTAATTTTTATACAAGTAAATACCACTTAAGAATGGAGCCTGAAGGAACAAATACTATTTTCTTTTTCATTTGTTTTGGGATTAAATTATTATGACCAATAATCTTAAAATTGTTGCAGGAAACTTAATTCACTTGAGAAAAAGAATAGTAAGTTATCGGAACACATTTAAATAGTTAAGTTAAAATCTTCATACAAGTAATTAATTTATAATCACAAATTTCAAGTTCTGGACATGGCAATGCCTTTACAGAGCCTGTTTTCAGAAATAATAAAATAAAGGACATATAAAAATACTGAGAGATAAGTTAAAAAAAAAAACTAGTGAGATGAAAAAAAAATGTGCAAAATGATGTAAAAATAAACTTAAAAAAAAAAAAACTAGTAATATATTTGTCTTTCTAATGTAGTTTCCTCCCCTAAATAGGTTGTTTCTTAATATAGACCTTATTAAAGCAAACAAACAAAAACTAGGTATTGATCTTCTTACATTAATTAGCATATGGGAATTTATGCTTTAGACCATAGGCAAGCCTAAAGCAATATGTCCAAACATTTGTAAAACAAAATATTCATTTTTATAATTTTATTAAAACACAGTCTAACTGTAAAGTTCCCTTTACCTTTATTGTCTGTCTGCTTGTCTGAAATCGTTGATCAGATACTTGCTGCTGATGAATTAATTTTTCATTGACTTCCTTATATTCTTTAACAGACAATTCGGCAGTTTTTTTGGCATTCTGAAGTACACTGATTTGTTGTTGCAAGGATATAATCCGTTCTCGTAATAAAATAATACTGCTGTTTGATTTCTGGGCATTTATAGTTTTCCACCTTTCTCTGTTAACTATACAAAAAAAATGTTGATAATAATATTTTTTTACTTTTCTCTGTTAACAATATAAAATGTTGTTGATGTTTTAAAAATCACATTAGGAAGACACTGTTGATTTCAAATGCATTCTTACCTCTGTTAGGAACTGCTGTATAGGGATTCTTTTGAATATTACCATACTTCTTTGGAAAAGTTGATTTTTTTGGATTCTTATAATGAAAATACTCCTAAAATTATAAGTTACATACAAATTTATTACTTAATAAATCAAGAACGCCAACATATTTCTCTACTTGAAAATATTTATGAAGAGTCTTTAAAATCTATACAAAACAATTCGACAATAACAAGAACTCAACATAAAAATATGTGCTCTAAATTGATTTATAAGAAAAAGATAACAATAGGAAAATGACATTCTCTGGTAATATTTTTCTCAAATACAGTTACATATTTCTCAAGTGCTGTCACATGTAGATTGCTGAACACTTCTGACAAATGCAACTAAAATAATATATCAACAAAGTAACTTTATTCAGTACTGTTTTCCTCAGGATGCACTGAGAATAATAAAGTGAAGCCAATTTGAGTTTTGTTTCTCTGATTTATAAAAGGTTTCCCAAAACAAAATTTAAATAGAAAAAAATGTTTTAAAACAAAAATGTGTGATACTATTTAAAATGTTATGTGGTGGGGGTCAAGACCAATTTCAACATAAACTACTACTAGACAGAATACTACTAAAACATTTTTTTCAGACATCCCAATATCAGAAACAAAAAATTATAGAAAAAAATGGAAGGAAAAATTAATTTAAACTAATGTAACTTTGATAGTGTGTCATAAACTTTATGTTGATAGACAGAACAATCACATTATGGATTGTTCCTAAAGTAATAGAGCTTATTTAAATGAACATCAGAGAGCCCTTTTTAAAAAGGGGTTTCCTTTAAGATAATTAGTGTCCTTTCTCAAAATAATTTTTTGAAGTGGCTTATTTCTAACATGTTTTTAAAGCCTCAAATAAGATACATTTTACAGTTTTCATTGCTTTACTAAGATTCACTAGAAAGAAAAACAGGAATTTCAACTTTACTTTCTTTTAGTTATAAAAGAAGAGCAAAAAGAAATATGACAATATCGAAAAATGTCAATATATATTCATTCTAGTGGTGGGTATATGATGTGTGTGTGTGTGTTTGTTATCAGTATACTTTCTGCATTTAAAAATATTTTCTTACTTTGAAAAAATATAATGGAAAAACTCCACACACAATGATAAGAGTAACAAATATGCCAATAAATGTGAGGTTTATTTAAAGGAAATTGAAAGGAGTAATAGACTCAATTGGCATTTAAGTGTCAATCATATATGAACAGTTTGGAAAGATCAAAACAGAACTACCAAATTACTGGTATTAGTCACCAAATCTGGTATCAAATTAAATGAACCAGCAATGGGAAAAAAGAAAAGATCTATGTTTATTTTTTAATACTATTACTGACCAGAAGTTCAGAAAAATTCTTAGACTTTGATACAAGCATAGTGAGTATGTCCTTTAAAGCTGCAAAATACTGTGGGAAATTCTCTGGGGCCAAAAATGAAATGAAAACATGTACCCAGACAGAAAATCAAGTAGCTAGTAAATAACTTGTAATTCCACTTAAATGAAACAACAAACCTAGGTCCCAACCCAAGATGAGAAATTTGAAGGCACAAAACAAAGACAGTTTATCAACAGTATCTTTTTTCTGGGCTGAGTAGTATTCCATGTTATGGACAGAACACAGTTACTCAATGACTAAAGGAAAATTTTGATGTCAGTTTTCAATTATTTTAAGTAAAACTATTAGGACCATTCTGTACAAGATTTTTTAGTTAAAATAAGGAAGTGTTCAAAGAGTGAGTGGGTTGTATTGTAAGCATCTAATTCTTTTATATATTATATACATATATAATATATATATTTATATTTTAAATATTTCAGTCAATCTGCCATTTCTGCTCCCTACTGTCTCTGGTGAATTCTCTTCCTACCATCCCAGTATCTCTGGCAGACACCTTAGCTATTGTATGAGTAAAAAAAAAAAAAAAAATATCAATGTCAAACATAGACATGAAAATCAAAAATTAAAGAAGATAACAAGGAAGGTGGTATAAAAATGTTTAGGTTGGAGTTGGTAAAAAATTATTATATGAAATGATGTAAAAATAAACTATTATATTATTAAAAAATTATTATATGCAATCTAAAAAGTGATAATAAAGGAAAAGATAGTAAATTTGACCATTTCAGAATTAAGATGACTTGAATAAAAGACTGTAAGATGACTAAAAAAAATACTCTATTAAGAAAAAGGCACAGCTTGTAGTAGGAAAACATATCTACTATGAACGAATACAGCCAATAACAGACTCAGATATATAACACAAGTGAGTTAAAAGTGAGTTAAAAAAAAATACAACTCACTTGTAAAATGGACAGAGAAGTGAGCAAATTAATAATAAATCCCTAGTGATCAACAACTACAAAAAGTAATTAACACCTTATTAGAAAACACAGAACATAATTAAAACCAACATGATATACCTTAGTGTAAACACCAATGTGGCTGAAATAAATAAGACTAACACATCAAATACTGATGAAAAGCAATAAAAATGTCCCCAATTTGCTGATGTATGCAACAAATTGGTACACCATTTAGGAAAATAGCATTATCAATTAAAATCTTAGGAACAACATAATCTACAGTGTAGTAATTTCACCCCAAGTTAATTCATTATAGAAATGCCCACATTTGTACAACATAATACTTGTACAAAATTATTCATTACAATTTTATAAGAAATTCAAGCTGAAGCAATCAAAAGTTCAACAGTAGAGTGAATAAACTGTGGTATATTCAGAAATACCATTTACAACAGTGAAATTAATGAATTTCACATAATGGTGAATAAAAAAGGTCAGATACAAAGACCTCCTGTAAAGATGCCATGAAGTTCAAAACAGTTAAAGTTAGCCATAATGTAAAGAGAGGTAAAATTACATAGAAAAGAAGGGAAATGGTAAGGTAATGGCTACCTTTCAGGTTAGTGAAAAATTCTAATATTTCCAAGCCCAATTTCTTTAATTTGCTTAGCATTTATTCTGTGACTGCCAAAAATGTATATATGGATCTATTCAACCATACAATTCATATTGTATTTAATTCAACACTGTACCACATGAGTGGAATTTATTTACATATCCATTAACTGTACATAACTGATTTCAACTAAACAAAATTCCCCTCCAAGTAAATGTGGCATAATAGGATATCTCTATAAAATCTATCAGTCAATCAACAGACATTTAGAATCTATTTTTTCTTTTTAGGACTTATTTATTATGCATACAGAACTGGGTACAGGCCAGAGGTTCAGGGGCAGCGAGAGAATTCACCAGAGACAGAGTAGGGAGCAGAATAGGCAGACCAATGAAGCACACTGTTGAGGGGAGCCATGGGGCAGGTTAAGACAGATCTGCCACACCATGTGGATCACCTCTGGGGCCAGGGATTGAACTTGCACTGAAGCAGCTGCAGCTAGCTTGCAGTGCTGTGCTCTAACCCAATGCACCACCAGGGAGAGCCTAGAATCTATTTTATGTCTGAAATTTAATCTGGTAATAATGACTGTAAATCTTTACTATCTTTGAATTTGTTTCCTCCCAAGTTTTGGATAGATTTCAAAAAAGAAAAAAAAAATGAATTTATTATCACTATTATTGGGAGGTGACATTGAGATATGAATACTTTAAATTTTTTTTGGATAACAGTATTTATTTTATTTCTACCTATGTAAAAGACTGTAACATATTGGCAGTTGAAAATCATTTGAAAGTTGTCTTTTTATCATGTGTTTCAAAGAAAACTTATTAAATTTTCAAATTAAATTACTGGCAACAAAAATTAACTTCATTATAAAGCATAATATAAAAAAATAGCTTATCAGTAAGTAGAACTGTCATATACCTTTGGGGTCTTGCCACTTGGATTGGAATATATTTGTACTATTTCTTTTCCTTGCATTTGGCTGTCTTCTGTTTGATCACTTTCTTTCTGGTCTCTTCCATCTTCTATGGGACTTATTTTCTGAGATGTTTCTACAATAATTGTTCCCAAATTCTGAGAGGTTTGTGTTTCAGAATCACTGCTTTTGAAGAAAAGTGGGAAGACAAAAAACCCAAATACTATAGCACATAAAGCTGTAAGTCAGAACATTTACTGGTTCCCGATACAAAAAAATATATACTTTATAAAATTACAAAAGCTCACCAAGAAATTAAATTATCTAGTATCAAATGAGTATTGGCCTTAATTTTATAGTATCACTACTGTCAACTCAGGAAGCACATGTTTTAATACATTTAAGACTAGAGCACTCACTACTTTCTGAGCCAGGCCAAAATTTTTAACATTTCTGTCAGAATGTTTTGATTTAGTGAGGCTCTGACGCTTTCACACATTGGTTGCAGTTCTATCACATATATCTAATCATCATATAATACAATGTTTTTAAAGCTTCAAATATGTGCTAGGTACTTTTCTGGACATAAGGGTAAAGCAGTAAGTGAACAAAGTAGTTGAAAAACTCTGCTCGCATGTAGTTTTCATACTAGTATGTGTGTGGGGTGCGGGGGACGGGGATAGGTAATAAAAAAACAAGTAAAATGTATAGTATGTGAATAATTTATATTAGAGAAAAAAGAAAGCAAGGGGGAAACATTAGAAATAATGAGTTTTTGCAAAGCATGTATGCAAATTCAATCCTTTTCCACATCAATGACCTTTTAACTATTTGGACACAGTCATATGATGCCTGAAAGAAATATTGATAAGAAAAAACATTTCCAGCTTGTTAGAACATTTCTAATATGTGGGTATGCTTTTGAAATGTCCATTCCTGTCCATGACTCCTGAATCTGTCCCAGTGGATTTTGATTGAGCATGATGTCCAGAATTCAATTTCATATTCTAAGTGTATTTGAGAAGTATTTAGCAGATCTCCTGGTAGATGTGCACTAAAATTATTTAAGATTTTCTGGGATGTATATTGTATTATAGACTAATATAAGGCTTTAACAAAATCTCCTCAAAGCTAATTAGCCTCTAAGGTAATCATGTGCTATTTCCTAGTTGCCTCTAATAAAGTTTTATAAAATTTGTTCTTATCCAAAGTGCCACACTAAATTGGTTTCCCTTGAATAAAGGACTTCAAGTATACATTATACTGAATTATTTTTATTTGATAGCACACCCCTGTAATTTAATTAAGGGGCTTAAATGTTGTGACAATATATGAATATTTCATATACCTACATATATGAAGTAGTAAATATTATTTTTCTCAATATTCTTATACTTTAGCCAATAAAAAGCTAAGAAAAATAGAATGTTCTGAAGTCCTGAAGCTCCACTGTGGGATTTCTAATTGTCTATGAATTCTTTGCAGCTGAGTGATACCTGAGATTGTTGTCAAGCAGGTAATGTTACACTTAATCCTTACCACATAAAACTGAATTTCACTGCTAAACAACTTTAATGACAATCCTATATTTAAGACATACTGTGTGATACAAATCCCAAAATATGTAATCTCCCATACATGCACTAATAAGATGTAATTGGAATGGAATATATTGTTTAACCTTCATGTACTTATTCATTCATACTCACCACTATGTATTGAGTGGGGGGGGGGGTACCAATTGGCTGAGATAAATATTTAGTAGCTGAAGCTAGGTTTTCTTTGAAGCCATAGGTTAAAACATCAAAGGAAATGGATTTTAAGTTAAGTGAGATTTTGCTACAACTGATTTTGAAAAATAAATCTTAGAAGAGGTAACAAAGAAATGAACTGCAATTTGGTCCTTTCTTCCTTGTTTTCGTAATTATTTTGGAGTTTTTTTTTTAATCCTATCTGAAAACAAGGGGCTCAACTGACCCAATGATTATTTAAAACAGTGGATACCAAGTTTGGGCTACATGTTGGAATCTGAAGAGGTTCAGAAACAAATGAAGCTTGATCCAGCCCCAGAAATTATGATTTAATTGTTCTGGGGTGTGGCCTGAGCTTCAGAAATTGTCTGTTATCTCCAGGTGAATCTAATTTGCAAACAAATTAGAGGGTCACATTTGAATCTAAAATTCAAGCTATCTGTGACTGAGAATACTATCCAATTAATGAATATCTAAAACAAACCACTATTACGGATTTTTTAATCCTTGGGAAAGTAAAAGGAAAGATGTCACTATACAAGGCAGAATCATGTAAATTTTTCAATTAGCCAATTTTTCAATTAGTGTTAGCAAATGAACTTCCCTATTATCTAGATATTAAAAGAGATGTTCTAGTATCAATTTGCATTCATGACTTTACTGATGTACTTCAAGTGCATTTATGAATGTACAGCCAGGCATAAGAGAAAGAACTATAGATTTTTAGTATTTTCCTGTTGCTATTCATTAGGGACTATATACCTTTAGACTAGGAGTCCAGAGAGCTTTAACTTTAAAGAACTAATTTTTAACCACCATTCAATTAAAGTTAGTACAATGACTTTGCATAATACATACATGAAATAATTAGTGAAGATGGTTCTTAATTTAGAGGATGTTAAACAGCTTGTAGACATCTGGTAACAAGCTGAAATGGGTCATTCAAAATTTATCTAACTAAATTAAGGGGGAAAAATGTTTCTCCTCCCAGGTTGGCATGTCACAAGATAACTAAACCGACTTAGTAGGCTTGCCTGGGAATCCTTAGCTGTCAGTGGTGAATATGCAAAGGGCCAGCAAATTAAATCAACCTGCCAAACTGTCAATTTCAAGCCTCATGACTGCATGAAAATAGCATCACTGGAAGAAATCAAGCATTGCCTTCTTTTGGGTTCCTGGCACCTATTCAAATACTCATGCAGTTGTGGCTAATTTTGCATGCAAATTTCAGTCAATAAGCTCAGAACAAGACCTCCCAAGATATTTCAAAGGATCTGACAGTATTTTTTCTGAATACCAAATCGACAGTAGTTGAAATTCAATCTCCATTTGCTAGTACTTTACATATGCACAGTGTCCCCACCACAGAGCTAAGTTAATGAGAGCCTTACCTGCTTTCACTCACATCCTCCCAGCCATCCTTACTGAGGTTCTCAAACATATTGCTCTTAACCTTGATGGAGTGATTGAGAACAGTGTGGTAACGACCTACAGAGCACTTTTTTTTGGTGGCTTTAAATTTAACTTTGGTAGTGGTTGTCTTACAATCACTAGCTCTCACTTCCGTGGTGGCCATCTCAGTTTTAGCTTTGTCTGCTGAATGCTGCAATTTATCTATTGAACTTATCAGCTCTTCATTTTCACTCCTCAGCCCATTAGCTTCTGCCACTTGTCTCTTTAGTAAAGTGACTTCTCTCTCCAGCTCGCTGATTTTTACTTGAAGATCAGCATTGTGTTTTTCTACTTCTTTATTCCTCTTTTGTAACTGTTCAAGCTCTTTTCCTCTGGCCTCTGAATCTTCTTGCTGTTGTTTTAAAAGGGATTTCAGGAAATAATTTTCTTTCATTATTTTTTTATTCCCTTCTTTTAACTTTCTGGATCTTTTCTCAAAAGATTTTATCCGATTTTCCAACTCAATGATCTAAACAGAAGAGTTGAAAATAATTCTTTTAAAAGTATGAAACCATAAACAATTATACTTTTATTAACACTTCTAACTTATGAAAATAAAAATTACATTTATTACAAGTACAAAGAAATCTGAAGTACTTAATTCTAAATAATTTGTAGGTGGTATAGGTAAGTATGTTCTAAAATGTAATATACATCTGTTGAAAAAGGACAGATGGCAAAAGAAGTTAAAATTCTATACAAAGTGACACAGAACTAAGAATGCTGATAAACTGCAGTTTTATAAAAGCAAGTTCTTTGACTATATGTAAAAAAAAAGAGTTTTCAGAGAAAAAAGCTCCATTAAAAAGACTAAAAGTGCAGAGAAACTATTAAAAACTATATTATTCAATATTAACATTCACAAAAAATTGATGATCTAAATATAATCTACTGAGGTTGCTTTGTCCTAAATTAGAAAAATATAATTTTAGTGTCATATGATACTTAGTTTATAAAATAAAGGTACATGTTACAAAACTATAACAACTTTAAGTTATATTACATCCATATTGTATATGAATATTCATTTATCTCAATGGAAACTTTAATGTAATAGGAAACAAAAATGTTAACACAATTTCTGATCTTAAAAAATTTCAAATACTATTTAGAAAGACACTTGTATAACAAAATCTAATAAAGGGTAGGACTGAAGTGCCATAAGTCTGGGCAAATAGGAATCACAGTTGACTCTAAGTTATGAGTACAACAATTTCATGGGAGAATTGACTTTAAATCTTGAAAAATAATCACAACTGTTCATAAACTACATTTTAACATTTACAAAATATTTTTGTAAACATGATCTTTTTTGATCATCTTCGAGCATGTGAGATAAGCAGAGTCAATAATTATATTCAGATGAGGAAATGGTGTTTCTGGAGACTTAAATACACACAGAAGTTTCCACATCCTGTTTTGAACAGGGATTCAGAATCAGGACTTTAGTGACCCCACCCACTACTCCATCTAAAAACTATATGAGGAAGAAGAGTTGCCCAGATGCATATAGAAAATGAACAAAGAACTGGAATCAAAAAAGAAAACTGAATGATTAAAATTTGAATTTAGATTTACTTTTAAAACAAAATACAAGGAGAAAATACTGTGATGAAATAATAATAGTTTCAAATCATATTTAAAAAATATGTAAGACAATGATTATGTATATTCTTACAACTCTCCAGCTTACAGGATGTCTTTACTTTTATGATGGTGAAGACGTAAGTTATTTACATTACTATTGGTAAACTCTGACTTATCTATCTTTTGCACCCCCTATACTTCTTATGAGTTCAAGTCACTCCATTAGTTCATCAATTATTTAATGGTCAGTTATCCTGTCTTGGAACATACAGGTATTTTCCAACACAGAATGAATATCAATTCATTTTAATTACTTTTTCCATAGAATACATTTACAATTGCATTTAACTCTTTATCAGTTTTAATTTTTGACCAGAAGTGGAGGTATATTTAAAAACATTATTACCAGAGCTTCATAGGCCTTTGTGTATCTCTGTGAATGAAATTCAAATTCTGTGAATGAGACTGTTCATTCTCAATATTCTTTGATAGTGAGTTCGATAGTGTGACAAAAAAAAAAAATAGCAGTTAAGAATACATGAAATCTGGCTGAAACGTCTTTATTTCTTACTGATCTCTATCACCAATTTTATTCTTCATTTATTAAAAATACTACAAACTTGGCCCTCCCTGGTGGCTCGGCGGGTTAAAGCACTGCACTGAAAAGCTAAAGTCACTTCCGCATCAGTTCGATTCCCGCCTGCCCTGGAGGTGACCACATGGCGCGGCAGACCTCTCCTGACCCGCCCGCTGCTCCCCTCAGCAGTGTACCTCCTCCAATCTTCCTGTTCTGCTCCCTACTCTGTCTCTGGTGAAGCCTCTCGCCGCCCCTGCACCTCTGGCCTGTACCCAGTTCTGTATGTACAAATAAACAATCTTTAAATAAAAAAAAAATACTACAAACTAAAAAAAAAGCAAAATCAGCTTTTTATGATCTCTTCTATTTCTCTCAGTAGGCCTAATCACTTCCCACAACAGAATATATTTTAAAATATTTTAGCATATTTTGGCTCCTACTGTATTGAATAAGCTGTAATTTTAATTATACATTGTGCAAATGAGCAACTGTACCTTAAAAATATCATTTTGAGTATGGCAATTTTAAACATTAATAAGAAGCAGTGTACTTTATGAAAATTAAGTTTTGAGTCTAGTCTTGATTAGACTTACTATTTTGGTTGCTCTGCCTGGTAAATTTTTAACCTGTTTTAGTTTCCTTTTCTGTGAAATAGAGATAGTAACCTATCTTAAAAATTTATAATATAAGATATGATCAAATAAGGCAATTCCTGACAGACAGCACATTCTAAAAGTTCATCATCATCACCATCATCATCACTGTCTCTTAATTACAATAGCTACTTAAAATTATTTGAGCTGTAATTTAATTACTTCATGAAATATTGATAATTATTAAAATGAAACATTTTATGAACAAATGCAACAAAGTAAACATCTTCAATTTGATAATTCAAATCTGAAAATTGGCAATATTTGTGGAGAAAAATCCATATAACTTTGGGTTCAAGGCTTTGAAAATTTACATACCAATAGAAAAATGTCTGTTTAAGTCCATTATTTTTTAAATGTTTAAAGTCTGTTAACTAGCTAGTATGGCTATATGCCTACTTATAAGAACTGTTGGAAATCATTCTCATTTAAGATTAGAATGGAGGGCAAATAAAAAAAACAGAAACACCAGTTGAAAAGATTTTGAAATGGAAAGTCTACAACACCTCTTATAATGTGTTACTCAAGGTATATTCTCAAAAATTATTGTGAAACTGATTTGAAACCTGCAAAACAAACAAAAAAAAATTTCAATGTATATATGAGAAAGAAAGTCTAGGGAATTGTTAGGAGCATTTGGTTTGTATATTCACATCCCATACTCTCTCCAACTATTGATTGAACATTTCAAGAATTTACCAAAAAGCATGGCTCCTTTCAAACTAAAACACTTGACTTTGTGAAATGTGTGTGTTCTTTAGCTAGGACTACATTAATAAAAAGACTGGGTAGTTTAAACCCTAACCTCATTTAACTCCTTAAAGATTCTGTCTGTAAATCCGGCCACAATCTGAGATACCACAGATAAGGACACTGACATAAGTACTTTGGGAGGACAGTTATCCCAAACAGTGTGAATTATTATCCACACTAAAATATAATGTAGTTCCATTTCATTTCTAGTATGTACAAATATTACTTAAATAGCGCTATTTTTTCCAACCCATTTTGAATGAGTTTTAGATACATCCTGTTTAAAAAAAAAAAAGAGAGAGAGATTCATTTAGAGAAGTTAAATCAGTACTCAAACAATTGCATTATGTTAATATAAAATAGTGACAAGTTACACTGCTAATTTGGCATATGGTTCAATGAAAATAATTCCTGTTGACTTGTTAGAACTTAATGCTGGATTCAGTATGGTAGTAGTCATTTACGGCAGCTAGGAAGAAAAAATGGATTTCTTTAGGGTTTCCACCAAGAGGCAGTAAGTAGCAAAGAGTTATATATCCATAACGATAAACATTAAAAAAAAATCTGGCACCAAAAGTACTGTGCTAAAGCAAAGAAGATAAGCTAGTTTAAGTTCCATGACACTCTTGGTGGTAATGGATATACACTATTATCATTACCCATTTTACCACAGGCTAAATGAATATGAGCATTTTTTGTACTCTGTGTTTATTATGTTTACCAGATATGTGTCATTCAGTAATAATGAGAAGACAGCCATTTGTTAACTGATCATATGGCAAGTGTTAGAAATCACATCATCTATTGTAAATCACTATATTTTCAACAAGTCAATTCACATATTTTAGAAATGTAAGTATACACAGTAATATTTTTGTAATACATTTGTGTTTACAGTTTTACATAGTAACCAGTGTAGGCCAGTAACATTTATAAGAATAAACACACTTGAATATTTCCTTTATAATAATAAGCAAAACTGCTAAAATACAACCAATAATTATATATATTCTTAAAACTCTCCAGCTTACAGGATGCCTTTCCTGTTTTGGTATGGTTTTAATAATATAATAGCTTATTTTTACATCACTTTGGAACTTTTTCCATCTCAGTTGTGGAGTGCCTTTACTTTTATGATAGAGAAGATATAAGTTTACATGACTATCACTAAACTCTGATAATTAATTAAATCCCTTTCATTAAACTTTATAACAATTCTTTTATATAAAAAATGAATTAACTATAAAGTTGCAGACACAAATATAAAGATTTTTATGCAACATTTTACTATCTATACAAGTAGGCAAGATGTGAAGTGATTGTAGGTTTACATGAAAGGTTCTGTTAATACTGAGATAGTATTCCCATAGTTACATAAACACATTTACCTAAAATAATGAATCACAAATAACTAAGTTCAAAATGAAAATTCTAAACACTGCTATTTTACTATGAAAAGACAAAACTCTTCAGTTATTTTTTAGTTCAAATATTGTAAATCTGTGTGTTTGCTTAAATATAACAGTCTAATCTTGTCCCATTTTAAAGTTAAACTGCTAAGTTATAACTAATAAGCACATACAGTAGAAATTTTTATATTTTTTATTACTGTCATTCTCTTCATCTTTAAAAAATTTTTAATCTGTCAACAGAAGCACAAGTGTTTCTACATTTATTTCACTAACATTGATTTTTTTTATCCCATTTTGGCAAGCCAATGATTTTGAATTATGAATTTAAATTAAGAATTCACACAAGGTTTAAGTTCATGAGGCCTCATTTTAAAATATAATCCTTTATGTTAAATTCAGATTTAACTTGCTCAGTTCAATATCTTAAAGATTAGACTACCTTCTGTAATGTCTGCTCTGATATTTCTTTTCCATTCTTCTTTGGAGTACTCTTCTTGACCCCATCATCGTCACCATATTGAAAGAGTTGTTCTGCAAGAGAATAAATAATACATTATTGTACTTCATATGATATTGAAATACTGTCCTGTCATTTTAAGAAAAGGGGTGCTCAATTAGGAGTTTCTAGCCTATAGTTTCTCAACTATGAATAATCTAGTCATTTTATTGTCAAGCATTTAGTTAGTAGCAAAATAGTTACCTTTTTAAAGATTTTTCGTCACATAATTATCTTTATAGTGTCACATTTTTTTTTTTTCAGTTTAAGATTTTCAAAGGTACAACGGATCTGCAGGTTAACAATGCTGTACTTTTATTCCTATTTTCATTCTTTTGTAGACTATTCCCCCTTTGCCTTAAAAGCAAAATTCATGCCTTTTTATCTACACAGTCACTACTAGTTTTGTTCTCAGGATCTTGCTCCCTGCCAGGAAGATCAGAGTGATTGCTGAACAAAGCAAACACTAACAGAATTGGGGTAGACTCAAAATGAAAACCCCCTATACCACCACCACCACCATCACCTTTATTTCAAGTTAAAAATCATACACTAAGCAGTGTATACCATAAAAATGTCATTTCCAGAAAACCTGACTTTATAACGGATAGAAACCTAGGTAGTAGGTGAAGGTTTTTCTACAAATCATTCCTAAACAGGGCAAAACCTTTTCAGTCAAGCAAAACTGTGCAAGTAAGATGTCCAGTTTAAAAGGAAAAGAATAATCTTAAACTGTAAATTACTATTATTAAAATAGAAATACATTAAAAACATTTTTCTCTTATTAGATAATCACGAATATATTCTCACTGAATTATTTTTGGATACAACATTTATTGAAGAATCAAAAAGGAGCAAAAAAAGAATAAAGTATAAAGGATACATATCTTTGTTGGTTTAAGATGATTTTACTTTAAAGTGTGCTTGGCTTCTGTAGGTCAGTGAAAAACTTTGATTTATCAACAAAGGAAAAAGAAAACAGTAATATTCTCTGTAGGGTAGAATCCTCTTGGTATAAACAGTGACTAACAAGTTTGTTAGAGAGAATTAGGCATTTCTTTTGTCTTTGAAATATGTCATATCCAATTAAAAATTCTGAACTAGTGAAATAAATAGAACACTATCCTAAGAATAATAAAAGCTAGAATAGGTAGAATTTGTCACCTGGGGAATATGTACCTTTACCTTGATAATTATCTACTGGATCCCAAGTTTCTTTTTTCCTAGTCCCCTAACACCATGGTGCTGAATTCATTTGCAACTCTGTTTCAGCAATATAGAAATAATATGCAAATAAAATTCATCTGTTCTGGTGATTTGAATATCTGTTACAGTTCTAAGTGAAATATTTACTCTTGAAAATAAGAATAGTTTTTTTATACTGAAAGAGCATAGAGTGCTAACAATAACTAAAGAACTTGAACAAAATAAAAGCCAAAAGATTTAATAAACATTTTCATTTTGAAGTAAAATAGCATTTGTTTACAAAAACTACATGATTCTGAGGCACAGGTTCACCTTTTCAGATATGTTACCAAGCCACATAGAACACGAAGGCACCTAAAGTTTCCTATCATGGTCTACTAGACCCACTTTCCCATTTGTTTTCAACTTCTTTTTGCACCGTTGGCAGTATCAATTAACAGACTTTTGGGGTTTGTTTTTCATTTGGTTTTGTCTGACCCTTTGTTTTGTTCGCCCATATTCTACATATAAGTGTCACCATCCATATTTGTTTTTCTGGTTTATGTGACTTAGCATAATCCTCCCCCTTCTTCACCTGTCCCCCAGTCTCCAATCATGTTTTCACAAACAGCAATAGATTACTGTTTTTTTTTTTTGTTTTTTTTTTTTTAACAGTTCAGTAGTAGCTATACCCAACCTTAATCTACTCATCTGTCCTTGGGCATTTAAGAGTTTTTCTCAATGTGACTACTTTCAGTGGAGTTGCAATGAACACATGAAAGTTTATTCCTATTTGAATTAATTTTTACATTCTCTGGGTTGACATCTAGGAGTGGGATTACTGGTATGTATAGTAAATCTACTTTCAATGCTTTGAGAAATATTCATACTGTTGCCCATAGGGACAGGAAAACTACATTGCCAACAACAATGAGAGTTTGTACTTCTCCACACACTTGCTAACAACTGTTGTTTCTGGTCTTATCAATATGGTGATCTTCATAGGTATGAGATGGCATTTTCATTGTGGTTTTCCCTTGTATTACCCTAATAACTGATAATGACTTTTTTTTGTTGTTGTTTGTTTGTTTGTTTTTTTCATGTGTCTGTTGCTAATCTAGATGCCTTCTTTGGAAAAATACTAAACTCTTCTGACCATTTGTTGATTGGGTTTTTATTTTCATTTATTTTATTGGTTATATGAGTTCTTCATAGATTTTAATATTAGGCATTTGTCAAATGTATAATGTTCATTTTTTCCCCACATTCAGTGGTGTGTTTTTCATTTAAATGATATAATCTTTCACTCTGAAGAAGCCTTTTAGTTTGATGTAGTTCAATTCCTTTATGTTTCCCTTGCAGGAACTGAATTTCCAATGACGCCACCAAAGCCAATGTCATGCAGTGTTTGGCCTGTTTTTCCTCTTTTTTTTTTGCATTATATGGTTTCAGTTCTTACATCCAAGTCTTTAAGCCATTTCAGGTAATTTTTGTATATGGTGTAAGAGTATGGTTTAGTTGCATTCTTTTGCATTTATCTTCAAGTGTTATCAAATAATTTATTGAGAAGATGTATACCCTTGATCCTCTCCTGTAGATTAATATGTGAGTTTATTGCTGGGCTTTGATTCTATTCCATTTGTCTCTGTTATTTTTATTCTAATATCATACACTGTTTACACTATAATAGCTTACTAATATAATAGTAAGACTTCACTGTACTAAGTGTTAGAATGCTCTTTTGTACCTACAATAAATCCAACTGGTTATCAAGTATAACCTTTACAATGTATTGTTGAATTTGGTTTGTATAATTTTTGTTGAGGACTTTTTTTTCATCTATGTTGATCAGGATAGTCAGTAATTCTGTGTGTGTGTGTGATGTTCCTGTCTACTTTTGTAATCAGGGTAGCCTCATAAAATATGTTTGGAAGCATTCCCCTTTCCTCAACTTTTGTGAAGAGTTTGAGAACGATAGTTATTAATTTATCTTTGAAGATTTGTTAGAACTCACTAGCTAAGCCACCTTGTTCATCGCTTTTTCTCTATGAGAGGTATCTGACAGTTTCCTTGCCTGAAATCTGTAAAGTCAAATTATTTTACTTGTGAAAACTTGTCCAGACCTTCCCTGGTGGTGCAGCGGGTAAAAGCACAGCACAAAGAAGCTTAAGCCTCATCGGCATGAGTTCGATCCCCGCCTGCTCTGGAAGAGATCCACATGGTGTGGCAGACCCTCTCCTGACCAGCCCACCAGCCCACTGCTCCTCTCAGCAGTGTACTTCGTCTAACTGCCTGTTCTGCACCCCACTCTGTTTCTGGTGAATCCTATCACCCTCTGCATCTCTGGCCTGTACCCCAGTTATGTACAAATAAATAAATAAATCTTAAAAAAAAAAGAAAAGAAAACTTGTCCAATTCTTCTAGGTTAGGCTATTCAATTTATTGGCATATAGATGTCCATAGTACTGTTCTATGCTCTTCTGAACTTCTGATATTGATGGTATCATAAAAATGAATCAGCAACTGTATTCTTTCAGGCACTTCCCCTAACGTCTGACTCAGCAGGTGCAAGATCTGCTTTCTGAATGTGTTAAAGTCTAGAAAGGTCAAGTATGTAAAAACATGTAAAACTGGAAAAGATAAAAACAAAAGTGTACAGTATCACCTGCTGGGGAAATAGATGTACTATTTATCTCTAAGTCATTGTCACACATACTTTTTAAAAAAGAAAATTTAAAGCAGTAACATGAATACCAAGAAAAGAATTAAACTATAATACAAAATATTAAAGATAAAAACTGCTAGTAAAGAATACTACATCTCCCCATAAGAAATATTAAAAGCAGCTCTCTTATCTCAACTGAGAAAGATCCACACACACACACAAACAAAAAAATGAAGGAAATACATATCAATAGAATATATATATATAAAAAATTAACTCATACATCACTAACCATCCTAACAGCAAATGGCCTGAATTCACCAGTCAAAAGACAGAGTAGATGGATGGGGCAGAAAACAAAACTCATCTTTTTGTTATCCCATCTAAGCTCCAAAAGTAAATGTCAACTTAAAATAAATGGTTGGAATACAATCCGACAAGCAAATGGGACTGACAAAAATGGGCAGGAGACAGCCTTTTTTAATCTGAAGCTATAAAGTAGGTAACAAAGACAAAACTTGACATATAGTGATTAAGAAAACATGATGGGAAGTCATAACACTGATCAGTATATACATGCGTAAGATGAAGGAGATATAACATGTAAGGTAAGTCTGAAAACACACATTGCAACAAGACAATAGTTTTAGGAGACTCAAACACCTACTCTCATAAATAGATCCACCAGACAGAAAGTCAACCAGAACACAACAGCCTTAGTTAATGAATTAGATGATATGGGCTTTATAGGTACTTAAAGGGCACTGCATTCCCTAAAACTGTGCACATGGAAAATTCTCCAAAAGAGATCATATGCTGGCTCACAATATAAATTTCAATAATTTTTTAAGACTGAAATCAAGTAGCTTCTATCATAATTATTTAACAATAATTCGACCACAAAAAGAAGCTGGAAAGATCTCGAATATGTGGAAGCTGAACAACACAATACTGGATGACTACTGAGTTAATGGAGAAATCAAAGAAGAAATTAGAAAATATCTGGAGACAAGCAAAATGAAGACACAACTTACTAGATAGCAAAGATAGCAAAAGCAGTATAAAGCAGGATGTATATAGCAATATAGATCCACATGAAAAAGCAAGAAAAGCTCAGGAAATAATCCTGTCTCTCACCTTAAGGAATTAGAAAGAAAAAAAGGGAAACCAAAAGGTAGTGGAAGA